TTCGAGATAAAACACTTGTTCTCACATGAGATATAGAAACACATAGTAGCCGTGGAATGGGTGATCTACCTATAGCGAAAAATAAAGAGGATCGTGTTTTTATGATTTGTATGACTATACATTGGAAAGATGATCCCAATTCATTGATGCAAATATGTTTAGTTGATGTGGAGACGAAACCAGATCCTAGGTGGATCACAGTGATATGCGGAAATCAAACCAATTTACTTAAGGCATTTGCATTATGTTGGGAATATTTAGCTCCCGATATACAGATAGGTTTTAATGACTCGCAATATGATTGGCCTTTTGTCGTAGAAAAAGCTAAGAATTTAGGAATTCTTGAATGGATGTTTAATCATATGTCCCTGGAGCCATTAAGCATTGAAAAAATTACGAAATGGCAATATCAATATAATGTGATAAAAATAAATGATGCAAACTTCCATTCGAAACATCTCAAAATCCCTGGGTGTGTGGCTATTGACGTCCGTCCCTGTTTTAAGAAATTATATTCTAAAGCTGAGAAAAGTAGTCTTAGGTTTTATCTGGAAGAGTGTAAACTCGACAACAAAGTAGATTTCCCTATTCACCGTATAAATAAATATTATGAAAACGCATTAAAGGAAACAAATAATACAACGGCTGAGCAGATGCGTGAAGTGGCTAAATACTGCATTAATGATGCTCTTAGCTGTCAGCGGTTAATGATTAAACATAATGTAATTAATGAATATAGAGAAAAAGTTTCTATATCATTTCTGTCTTTATTCGATGCACATTATTTTGCCGATGGAATGAAGGTAAAAAATCTTTTAGCTAGTCGGGCATGGGAATTAGGATTATTAAATACCATGCTTCCACAAAAGCAAACAGAAAGTGGTAAATATCCTGGGGCGTACGTATTTCCACCAGAAAAGGGGCTTGAAAATAAACGCCCTGTAACTGGTCTTGATTATGCATCGCTATATCCAAGTCTTATTATGACATATAACTTCTCTCCCGATAAAATTATTTTATCTCGTGAGCATGCAATATCTGTAGCACGTAATGGTAAGAAACTCCATAGGATTGAATTCAAGTTTAATGGTCGCGATATTATTGTGTGGTCAGTAAAACATGAAAATCAATTGGAAATGGAAGGGCTTTATGTAATAGTATTGAAAGAACTACTTATGAAGCGGAATAAGATGAAGAAATGCCTTGCCCCATTAAGTGAAAAAAAGGAAAATATGGAATTAATATTGAGTAATATAGAAGGAGAGCGACCGATACTGGAAACTATTGAATATATCTTGAAAAGTGTAGAAGAGAAAAATCACGATAAACTTACTAAAAAATTACATCCTTTTATTAATAAAAATAACCATGAATTTATGGTAGAATATAATTCTGTCTGCTTCGATCACGCCTGTTTAAATACAAAGCAGACTGCTTTAAAAGTTTATATGAATACGTTCTATGGTGAAGCAGGGAATAATGAATCGCCTTTTTTCTCACTCCAATTAGCCGGAGGGGTTACATCAGCTGGTCAACGGAATATTAAGCTTGTAGCGGATTTTGTTAAAAATAAAGGCTTTAAAATAAAATATGGAGATACAGATTCTTTATATTTAGTCTGTCCAGAAGAATATTTCCACAAATGCGATACAGCTTATGATAATGGAAATGGGATCACGAAAGAAAAATACTGGAATGAAATGGTAAAAATTTCTATGAAAGTAATGGGGGAGCTTCATGATGAGGTAAATGAATTTCTTAAAAAAGATAACGGAACTACTTACCTAAAAATGGCCTATGAAGAGGTTTTATTCCCAGTAGTATTTACAGGTAAGAAAAAATATTACGGTATCAAACATATAGAAGAACCTAACTTCGATCCAAATCCAGATAAGCTTTTTATTAGAGGCATAGATATTGTGAAACGGGGGCAGTCTAAGCTCTTTCGCAAAATAGGTAAGGAGATTATGCGTGAATCTATGGAAATCGATAACAATAGAACGTTATACCAGATTGTTAAAGAGGTCCTTAAAAACACAGTGAAAAATTCGTCTCAGATAGATATTAATGATTGTATTCGAACTTATACATGGAAACCCGATAAAGATAATAAGTCTGTTAAACGTTTCATCTCTCGAATTAAATCTAATCATGCTCGTGAGGTTGCGGATTCCAATCAGCTTATAAAAAAGGAATTAACACCCGATCCATATCTTTATAATATCCCGGAACCTGGAGAGCGTTTTGAGTATATAGTGGTAGAAAGAGAAGATCGATATGATGAGTATGGGAAGAAAGTATCATGGAAAGTAGGAGATTGTATGGAATACCCAGATGTGGCGAAAAAACTTAACAAAAAAATAGATATCAATTATTACCTAAAGAGTGTAGTTAGTCTCTGTGCCCGGTTTATAAATAATAGTAAATGTTTTGAACCACAACCTGATTCCGAATCCTTGAAAAATATTACAGATTCAGATAAACTCTGGACGGCAAATGATGGTTTGGCACAGAAATTTGCTGAGAAATGGATAAAAAATTATATCAAAGATTTGCGAGATGGTCCTAAAAAAGAAGAAGCTATTATATCCCATTTATGGAAAGATGCTACTATTCACGCTCAAAAAATATGTCCCAGTATTAACAAAGCTGGCACAACCAGGCCTTCAGGCGTGTCTACGGGGCATAATGACTACCTTAATGCGTTAGATAAAATTGCAGATTCTATTCGTTTAAAGTTATCAGATCTACTTTCAAAATTATCTAAGCTCAATGTAGAATATAGAAATGGGTTGTACGGGTTAATTATGCAGGTACAAAAATGCAAGCCTAATGTCACTATTTTGGAAGAATATATATTTCGGTATAATCTGGAATCAGAGTGTGGAGCATTAATAGATTTCCGAAATACATGGTACGAGATAATTGGTCTTGAGGTTGCTCGTCTTCAAGCACTATCGATTATACAGAACAGTAAAAAATATAACTCATCCGAAGCGGATATTGATGAGATCATCGATCTATACTGTTAAGTATTCTTGGTTGGAATTGCGACACTCACTAAAGATACCTACACAAAAATAATTTTTTTCGTATATAAATAATATCCAAGTTCAAATAGATAGTCTCAGTTACAATTAGAATTCTCTCCGGAAATATATCTACGTTTATTATATTTTTAAATTAACAAAACCACTAATGGTTTATTATATCAAGCCATAAAAATCACTTAAATCATATTATAACCACTTTGTGACTGCGAAGAAAAAATGCAAGATTGTAATGAGATTGATACTAATGCCTTTATTTATGCCAAAAGACGTGAAGGTAAATGTCTAGCTAAACATGAATATATTCCGGGTATTTACTTATGGTCCTGTAAAAATAATCATCAATGGATAGCATCTTATGATGATATAAAGCGAAATTATAGGTGGTGTAACATTTGTCCTCATATATTTGAAAGGACATGTCGATATATCTTCGAAGAATTATTACATAAAAAATTTTCACTCCGAAAACCCAAATTTTTAAGGGGCTTACAACTTGACGGATATAATGAGGAATTACGCTTAGCTTTTGAATATAGTGGCAATCAGCATTTTCAAATCATTCCTTTTTTTCATCCACAAGGACAAAGCGATTTAGATGCACAAATTCAACGCGATTGGAAAAAGAGAGCACTCTGTTTCAAGGAGGGTATAATTCTTATCACAATCCCTTATTGTGTTGTTGATTTGCCAACTTTTATTAAGAGCGCCTTGATCGCATTCGGTTATCTTCTAAGACCCATCGGGGAGGTAGTATAGGCTTTTCCTTAATATGCATTAATTGTTCTCTAACAAAGGGACGTTGAGGTCCTGAATCATCTAAATAATATAAAACCGGCATCGGGGGATTCTTTCCAACAACAATTCTTCGAATTTTATGGAGGCTAGGTGACCATATAGGATCCGTTATTCTACGTCGCTCAAAAGGATCATTTTCCCACTCCCCAGGGGCAAGTAAAAAACGGATGGTAGTACCTTTCTCCAGTTGTGGTTCATTAACACCTATTGGACGATTGTATTTTGCCGATGGTTTGGAATATATCCGCTCAAGCTTTGTGGCATCATTGGGACTCATTCCAATTAATCGAGTAGGAGTATCATTCATGTTATCAACAATTCTTCTTGCAAATCGTTCACATTCCCTACAACGTTCACCAGCAGGTAGGAGAAACTCTACCGAATACTGATTTTTAAAAACTCTTATCTCGAATAATCCAGCATAACGATCGACCATAGCCAAGCTTGTATGCCTAAAACGTGCCTTAATTCTTCGGATTTCAACGCCATGTTCATCCATTAATAAAGTCACGTATCCCATAAACTCAGTACCCATATCACATTGCATTTTTCGAGGCCAGTTGAGAGGCTTATCGGGATTATCGTATATACTCTTAAATGCTTCTGCAACTTCCTTACTGCTCTTTGATGTTAAAAAAACGAAATCTTTATATTTAGTCGCGCAGTCTATAACCAATAGTACATAGTAATATATTGGGCCATCATCTAGTAAATTTGTATCCACATCTTCATCATATGGTATTTCGATTAAATCACATTGGTGCACAGTATTTGGCTTCGTGATTTTAGAGTAACTGGCATAAGGTATATGCTTTGGTGAAGGACGAAAAATTTGGTACATTGCCTGCCTATCAAGCCATTTTTTTACATCAGTAAATGGAAAGCTGTAGCCGGCTTTTTTACAAGCGTCCCATAATCCCTTAGTATTTTGATAAAGACCCTCAGGACGATAATATAGTTTTTGCAAAGCAAGATGCCAGTCTAAATCATGAGCTTTCTGAGGATCAATAAAAATCGTAGGCTTTTGTTTTGCAATCTCCTTATCTAAATCATGGGCCTTCTGTGGGTCAATATAAATTACAGATTGTTCCATTACTTATTGAAAAACAATGAAACTTCGTTTCTAATCTATTATAGTTAGTAAAAAAAAACATGGGAGAATTAAGACAAACTAATCAGGAGCTCCATGAGGAAATATCACGTTTAGCCCAATCAAATAGGAGCATAGAACAACGAGTATATACTTTAGAAAGGGCTATTGCTATACGTGAAGAAAGAATCCGATTTCTTGAAGAGGAACTAGAAAATACTATCGAACTTTCTAATAAAGAAAAAGATGAAATGATGAAAGAAATCATAAATTTAAAAAGAATTGTTCGACAACTTGAAAAAGAAAATAAACAAAAAGATGAAGAAATATCTATTAAGGATAAGTTAATAACGGAATTTGATGAATGTGAAAAAAAATTAAAAATCAGAATTCGAGAAATATCCAAATCAGCAGGTAATACCCCCAAGGCATTGAATTATACATCAAAATTAGTAGATGAAAATGAGCGTCTTAAGCGTGAAATAAGTAAATTACAATATATTCTTATAAATAGAAATAATAAAATAGATCTGCAAAAAGCACGTATAACTGATTTACAGTACATTGTCAAAATTTTGCATTAGCATTATTAAGATATCGGGATAAATTAGAACTTATAAATACTCAAGAAGCTTTACAAAATTCACAAATATGGAATTCTAATGTTATAATATCTGAAAATGAATCCGATGAAAATTCACAAGACAGTAATATATCAGAAGAAATGTCAACAATAGTCGAGTTAGCCGATACTATAGATGGATATTTGGATAATCCAGGAACAAATAGAGAGATTTTATCTAATCAAATAAAAAGGGTCACAAGACAAATACGCCGTAAAAACAATAATCTACAAAATGTTGAAGCGGAACGAGATTTATCTATCCAAGCTTTCAATAATGAACAAGAAGAGCGACGTCGCTGGTGGGGGATTGCTAAGCAATTAGAAA